CTGTTCGTGTGGAAAGCCCTTGCCACACTATGAGAAAGGGGGGGTCTTTCACAGCTGGTTAATGCCAAATAATTCTAATCACTTAAGAAAAACAAGTGAATATTCTTAGTGTTATACTCATAGTTTCTATTAAAAGTAAATCCCTTATCAAGAATTGTTCCTAAATATTTCATATATTCCACTCTGTCCACTTTTCTGAGTATTAAGTGTGACAGGGTGGAATTTGCATTTTTCTTCTAGATTTAGTTGTAAAATAAGTTGTTTCAGTCACATTAATTTCAACTTCAAATTCAAATAATGATAAGGATACAAAGTGAAGTTATATCACTCATGTTTTAGGTCTTTATCAGTTTCTGGTTGAAAACCACCTGCAAGTTACTGGTTGAAAAGTGGCTGCTGAGGATAAAGAGCTGCCGACCTCTGTGTGGAACTCTTTCCACTGCAATGGACATTTTTAACCAGTGCTCCTGTATGGCGACAGGGAACACTGTTTTGGGAGGTAGTCTGCACTTCACGGCTACCCAGTGGTAATCCTCACGTATTTTAAAATGTGTAAGACATTTCGATAATGAAATGTCTAGCAATTTAAGATCTGACAACAGGAAACTTCTTCTAATCAATCAAATTAAATGAATGAATTCAGCTTCATTAATAATCAGCAGACAGTGGGGTCGTCTTGATGATTTTACAAAGTTATCAGATTTACTAATCCTTTATTTAAAAATGAGAACATTTATAGTGATGATCTGGAGAATTCCCATTTACACACCAGGATATTTAGTGGAGTAATTTGAGAGAAGGATTTTGCGTGTGAGGTGTAACAGCAGTATTGCACAGGGGTGTTAAACCAGTAGACTATGCCTACCACTACCCAACACTACAAGCATTGTGCAACTCATATATTGATATATGTTTTGAGTAGATTGGTAACGGTTGTGATGGTTTTATTGAATTTCAATAAACTGTGCAGTGTAGATGCTGTATTCTGTATAAGAATCTAAATAATGGAGATGACTGTGCAGGCACCTTGGGCTAGGTATAATAACTGGGTAAAAACACAAACACGATCACTTATTTTAATTGGCAATCTTTATTTATAAGCTCCATCATAACAAAAAGATATGGTTAGTTTGCATTCTTAACTTTAAAAGCCGTACATAAACTTTGTAGGTATACAAGCAAGGTAAAGCAAAGTATACCCAACCCGACCCTGTCTCGCAGGGGTGCAAGCGTGTACCGTGTATCAGGAGTGTATCAGGACCATTGCGCGTTCATGTTTTATGAAAAGTTCAACGCTATTCATGAAAGGAACAGCTTACTTATGTTTATTTTTAACCAACTAAGGAATAGTATTTCTACTAAATGTGTGGAGATTATTATAATGTAAAATGTATATTTTTATACTATAAAAATAATCTTATTGTAAAGTCAGGCAGTCCTGGGGGACAGGCTAAAACAGTTTAAAGCTCCTTCACAAAGTCACTCATTTAGATAACTTTTTGTGCTGAATGGAGTGTATGTGTCATCTGAGAAAGCAGGACAGGCTACCTGTCCAGTATTTGTGTGTGTGTGTGTGTGTGTGTTCCTAAGTAGGAAACAACTACTGAGTGGAAATATGTTTTACTGCTCCACTTTCTGGTTACTGTCCCCAAACAAATCTTTTTCTTTGCACTTGTGTACTTTAGTGGCTGTGTTATCATTTTCCCCCACAACTTATCTACTAAATGCATCCTCAAACACCCCAAGCAAAGTGGGTGTGACACACAAGGGCCATTTTTCCCAGAAGCCAATTAACTTACAGTATGTCTTTTTGACTGTAGGAGGAAACCGAAACACGGGGAGAATATATCAGCTCTCTGTGGCTTTGAGGCAGCAGTGCCAACCACTGCACCACCAAGGCAAGTGCTACATTAATTCACTTTGATTTTAATGGTGTTCAGGAGAACTCAATTACAAAGTACCCAACTTTGGGGGTGCTCAAGCTAGGTAAAGCAAAGTTGTTTACAAAACTTAAAACAAATACACCTCTACAAACATGGTGGACTTTCTGGGAACTGCCCACAAACAAATATTTTTCTTTGCACTTGTGTACTTTAGTGGCTGTTATGGTTTTTCCCA